TAAGTAACTTCCTCAAAATGAAATTATACAGGATTCTAATTAAAAAACCAAAACTCTAGGGCTCTGTGTCATTATGGTGAGCAAGTTATTCAATCCTGCAACCAAAATTTGTAGCGGTTGTCCAAAATTCCTGTACCAACTGAATTTTAATATATGTGAGGGGCCAGAGTTGTGTCACAGTGGGTAAAGCCACAGCCTTCGGTGCTGGCATCCCATATGGGCAACGGTCCATGGTCCTGCTGCTCTACTTCTGATACAGTTTCCTGCTAATGCTCCTGAAAAAAACAGTGGAAGGTGGCCCAAGTACTTGGGCCCCTGCACCCATGTGGGAGACCTGGATGAAGCTTGTGGCTCCTGGTTTTGGTCTGGCTCAACCCTGGCTCTTGTGGCCACTTGAGGAGTGAAGCAATGGATGTAAGATCTGTCTATCCCTCTCTCTAACTCTTCCAAATAAATAAATCTTAAAAAAAAATGAAAAAGAAATATCAGAAAAGTTAATTTTATGACACACCTTTCATAATAATATTAAATATCAGAATGAAAAGTATAATAGCAGATATATCTTTGCTAATTTTTCTTTCCCATAATCTATTAGAGAACTTTGAAAGATCTAGGAAGTGACTTGAAAAAGTTCATGGGAGATGGCATTAAAAGAAAAAATTAATTTTGGTGTAAAACATTTCAGAAATCCATGCATATGAGATATCTTCAAACAATTTATGGATATTGCATATGATGGAAACATTATGCGTGGATTTAAAACTTTTTTGCACCAAAGAGAATGTCTTTTTTTTTTTAAGATTGTATTTATTTGAGAGGCAGAGTTACAGAGAACAGGAGAGACAGAGAGAGGTCTTCCATCCACTGGTTCATTCCCCCAAGTGGCTGCACTGGCCACAGCTGGGTTGATCGGAAGCCAGGAGCTTCTTCTAGGTCTCCCAAGTGGTTGCAAGGGCCCAAGCACTTGGGCCATCCTCCACTGCTTTCCCAGGCCATTAGCAGAGAGCTGGATCAGAAGAGCAGCCAGGACACAAACCATACCCATAGGGATGCCAGCACCACAGGCAGAGGCTTAGCCTACTCTGCCATGGTGCTGGCTCCTGAATGCATCTTTTGTCATTCAAAAATGAAAATCTGAAGTGCACTCACCAGCTCAATATCAAAGAGAAATTGATTAAAAGGGTGAGTATGGTGACTTGTATGGCTTACAGGAAAGAGCACCACACAGGCACCCTGATGGGTAGCAGCACTTTCTAAAGAGAAAGCTTGTGTAATTTTACAACGGACATCAACAGAAACGAGAGATGACATTAGGAATGGCAACACATGAAGGATTGTTAATGTAATCAAAATGTCCTTTGCAACCTTTGCTTCATAGAAACATATTAGTAATTAACATTCTACTCAGCAGGGTAAGTAGAAGAGGGATTAGGACAATAAGAAAGGATCGCATGACTGGAGTGTACACATGGGCAAGGAGGTGTGAGTTGAAATGAACGCCATATTGGAGAGGTACATATTATAGGGAGGGAGAGGTATGGTTTCTGGAAAATCAGGCTGGGCACATTCCAGGGCCCAAGCTGTTTTAAAAGATTTATTTACTTAGTTATTTGAAAGGCAGAGTTAAAGAGAGAAAGGGAGAAACAAAGATTTTCCATTATCTGGTTCACTCCCCAGATGGCCACAACAGCCAGGGCTGGGCCAGGCTGAAACCAGGAGCCAGAAACTCCATCCAGGTCTCCAGTGTGGGTGGCAGGGACCCAAGCACTTAGGTCATCATCCCCTGCTTTCTGAGCACATACGCAGGAAGCTGGCCTGGAGGCAGAGTAGCTGGGACTCAAACCAGCCCTCCAATACGGGATGCTGGCAACACGGGCAGTAGCTTAACCCACTAGACCACAATATTGGTCCCCAGGCAAGATTTTTGAAGACATTCCTGGACTCTGGTTTACTTTATCGTTTTGAGTGTAAAATGCCTCCAAGTGAATGTTAAACAACTGAAACCAATTGGCATGCATATGATTGTTTTGCTTTGTAACAGCTAGTAAAAGAGGGAAAGCTAAGGGAGGAAACATTACTTTTTGTGTCCTGACACCTTGCCTTCAAAATTGTTTAATTTTAGCTCCAAAATGAGGCCTGTGACAAGGACAGAAAGTAGAGGCTGGCGATCAAGTTTAGGATTTTAATCATATTCCAAGATTGCACCCTACAAACCTAACAGTCTGAGCCCACCAAACTGCACAGACCTCAAAGCTAAGGAAGGAGACCTAAATTGCAGTAATAACTGTGGTAGGCAGCATTCGAACCAGCCCTCAAAACTCCTGCCCGCTGTGTTCAGACCTTGTCTAGCCCACCTACCTTGAGTGCAGGAGACACCTGTGACCCTGACAGAACAGTCATTCTCTCTCTTCCTTAAGTTCCACTGGGTGACAGAGGTGACAAAATATGATTATATGGGGGCTGGCGCTGTGGCACAGCGGGTAAAGCCGCTGCCTGCAGTGCTGGCATTCCTTATGGGTGCCGGCTCAAGTTCCAGCTGCTCCACTTCTGATGTAGCTCTCTGCCTGACATGAGAAAGTAGAGGAGGATGGCCCGAGTCCTTGGGTCCCTGCACCCATATGGGAGACCTAGAAGAAGCTCCTGGCTCCTGACTTCAGATGTGTGCAGCACCAGCCATTACAGCCATCTGGGGAGTGAACCACTGGATGGAAGACCTCTCTCTCTCCCCTCTCTTTGCCTCTGCCTCTCTGTAACTCTACCTTTCAAATAAACAAATAAACCTTTAAAAAATATGACTATATGCAGAATTATATGACTGTATGATTGATTACAAGCTGACTTTGAAGATCTAAAGCATCCACATTGAGAGCTGGCTACAGAAACAAGAACTGATAACTGAGGTGGCCTCTAGGAGCCAAGGGCGAGAGAGAAAATTGGGACAGCAACTGGGAGACAACAAACCGGTGGTGCTTTACATCACCAAGTCGGTGGTCATTTGTGACACAGCAAGAGAAAACTAATGACCAACACCCAGCTGTTCATAACACAGCTCAGGGCCAACAGAGGCACCTTGTATGCACGTGATCTGAGTTCATCTGAATCCAATGCCCAGTGCACTTTGGAAACCTCTTGTCTGGATTTCTTTCTTTTCTTTAAAGAGGCAGTGAAACAGAGGTACAGATGGAGTACACTCCCATCTGCTGGTTCACTCCCCAAGTGCCCACAATGTCCAGGAGCCAGGAGTATGAATCACATCTCACAGCCTGCACTGTTAGGAAGCTAGAGTCAGAGCTGGGGCCGAGTATCCAACCCAGGTCCTCCCACGTGGGACACAGGTGTATGGACTGTGAGGCCAAATGTCCGCTTCCTCCTTTGTGGGTTTAAACCACACCACGAATGCACTACACTCTAGCATGGATGAGCAACTTTCAGTTTAAGCAACAATGCCAGTTTTCTCTCTACCTAACTCAAAAACATTCTTGTCCAGAAACACCACAGCACTTGAATGCTGTATTCTAGAGTAGTAAAACAAAACAAAGAACACCTCACCTGCTGTTTTCCACCATGGTTCGGAAGACTAAAAACAAAGAAAGTCAATTACGTGACTCACTGAATTGCATATTCCCAATTAGATTCTGACTTAGAAAACCTGGGCTTTTGTCTAAATCTGTGCATTTACTAACAATGTTTTTGCCTCCTCTTGTAACTAACTGCAAATATTTGAACAAAACAGAGGATTTTACATTCGTGTCACTGAACAACTCAAGCTACAGATGAATTGCAAGACTATGAATTTAATACACTGACTTGACAGTAAATTACAATTTCCCCAAACCTGATAAACCATCTACTCTATTAACAGCACCTAGAACTAACTGTACATGACCTTATTTTTAAAATCCCTTGAATAAACAAATGGAATTGATAGTAAGTAGACATAACCAAAACATTCCATAGTAATTCCCCATTATCTGTGGTTTCACTTTCCATGATTTCACTTATGCCTGACCAACCGTGGTCCAAAAATATTAAATAAAAAAATCCCAGATATTAACAATTCCTAAGTTTTAAATTGCATGCTATTGCAAGTAATGTGATGAAATCTCATACCATCCTGCCCCATCCAACCCTGGACATGAAGCATCTTTGTTCAGTGTATCCACCCTGTAGGTGCTACCTGCATTGGCCACTTAGTACCACGCCCAGTAACCAAACTGTCACCGTATCTAAATACTTGAGTTCAAGCAATTCCATTTTACTTCATAACAGCTGCAAAGCTCAAGAGTAGCAATGCTGGCACTTGGGATATGCCAAATAGGAGCCACAAGGTGCTTCTTTAGGTAAGAAGGTCAAAATTCTAGAATTTACAAGGAAAGGGAATAAATCACTTGCTGAGGTTGCTAAGATCTGGAGTAAGAATGACCTCTTATTTGCGAAATTGTGAAGAAAAAATTCATGCTAGCTTTGCTGTCACACTTCAAACTGCAAATTATGAGCGTGGTGCATGATTGGTGCTTGGTTAAGAAGAAAAATGTAGGAGCTGGTGTCAACAGGAATGAGAAAACACAGAGTACATATGGGTTTAGAACTATCTGTGGTTTCAGGCATACCCTGGATTTCTTAGATTATCTCACCTGCAGAAAAGAGGCACCTGCTGTATACCGAGCCTGGAAGTGGATTCCAAAAACACAGGCCACACAGTACAAACTGTGACGACATCTTGCTTTATATGTAAGCATTTGTAAAATAGTAAGTGCATCCCATTTTTCATTATTTGTATTATTCTTTTACTGCAAATATCTTCTGATTTGATTTACAAAACAGTTTTTGATGGATTTTAGTTTTCTTTAGACCTTTGCATAACATAGCTTTGTAAGAAGTATATGATTTTCTGTGTACAAATTAATTCCAGAGACTGACTGAAATGAAAACTAGGATAAAAATAGAAATAAAAAAGGGCTCGGGTTGCTCTTTAAATTGCAGGGTATGTTTTTTGAAAAAAAAAAAAAAAAAGCAAACCTAGTGTGTTTGAAGGAGGACATCATTGTTAAGTAGCCACAAAAGTAAGTAAGACCAAGGAACATTTAATACACTCTCAGGATTTTCTAAAAAGGTCCTTAGTTCGTTAAAAGATGTAGGGGAAGTGTCACTATGCTCTTAAATCTGTATATTTGAAATACATGAAATTTGCTCATCTTATATAAATCTAAAAAAAATTTTTAAGTGGTTAAACTGAAAAGCAAATTTCATCAATATAGTGTATTTCTTTGTGGTGTGGGATTTATGAGCTTCTGATGAATATCTATACCCTTGAAAAGATTATTTTTTGAAAAAATATTTCAAGTGCACTATAGGCAGTCAGCCCAGACTGGAACCATCTAGAAGTAAAATGACACCACATCCAGGGAAGAATTCAAATCAGAGTACCTGATTTTCATACAAGGCTGTCTACTCCACAAAATACTATTACTACTATCTAGTATTAAAATCCAAATCACAACATCACGTCTCCAGGTAGACTTTAGAGAGATCACTACTTATTGCAATCACCCAAAGCTCAGATAACTTTTATAAGCCTTTGTAATACTTGACTCGAGGCCATGTTATTAGTTGGCTTTTCTCAATTCTCTAAGCTGGTTTCATTCATTCATTCATCCCAACATGGCTAACTTGTTGAAGACCTGTCATGTACCAGGTACACCGGCTGTTCAGTGCCCATGAACAGGTTTCTGCTTAACAGAAACAGAATGTCTTGTTTCAACAGCCTTTGAAGTGCCCATAACACACACTTTATGTACTGATTACATTCTAAGTATAAGGAGATGACTAAATCAAAGCAATTGTTCTAACACATGGATGTGTACCAGGTATCTTGGAATTTTATTAATATCAACAGCTAGTTTCCTATGATGAGACTCATCAATCTGAGTTTGTAAGTTCTACTCATGATTCTGGAGTAGGGTGATGTCTGAGAGGCATTTGTTCAGAAGATGTACCATACAGTGCAGAGAAAAGCAAAGTACCGTGAATAAAATAGAAACATAAAGAAAGGAACCTCAAGCTCCAGCGAGAGTCATTAAGGAGCTCCTCTCTGAAGAGGCAGCCTTGAAGCTGTCTCAACAAATAAGAAATTCATGAAGTAGATAGGCAGGCAGAGGCAACCCATGTGGAGAAGAAGTGACCCATGTGGGAAAAAAAGGAAGGCATGAGAACGTTAAGTTAGGTTTGGGAATTGTGCGTAGCTAGATATGGATGGAGGGCTTACATGTGGGAGACCAGGGAGATCTGGTAGGCAGAGCAGCCAGACCATAAAGGACCTTGGATGCACTGCTAGACATCTTGATTCTATTTTCTAATCTTTCTATGTTTGAAATATTTTAAACAATGCAAAAAAGTATAAAGATAAGTTCAATAAACATGCACAGATTTCACAAGTCCTAACATTTTGCCATATTTGTTTCATATGTAAACATTATACATACATTAAAAAGTAAAGTAGTGAGTAGGAGTGGGAGAATCTGTTAGGCCTGACAATATAATATGTCTTTTGCTAAGTGGCTGGAATGAAAAAAAAAATTGCATGCTTTGAAAAAAAAGACTGAGTCTATCTTTGTAGTCAAGAATACGATATAATTAGACACTTGCAAATAGTTAGGAAACATCAAATACAGCAGAGAACAATGCCATCCTGGGTGAGGAATGAGGAGGAATTGAACTAAAATACCAGTGTCAGGGGAGAAATGATGAAGACCAAAGCTGGAAATTCTAGGACTGACTAGATTATAAAGCTGCTGCAATTCATAATGGCTCATCTTTACAGAAAATCTGTCTCCATGTTTTAGCCACTGTCCGATCAGCTTTGCTCAATCATCATTAATCACCAAGAGACAGGTGTTATGTCCACTTTAAAGATCAGGAAATTGAGGCACTTTAAGCAACATGTCCCAGGTCAGCAAGTAGGTAAAGCCAGGATTGGAACCCAGGCAGCCTGGTTTACAGCCTGTTTCAATCGCTCCTATACTCCAATGTAGAGAGACATATGGAGAAGCACAGGAGCATTTTGGAATCAGAAGCAGCTTTGCAGGAAAGACACGTGGTCCACGCGGAACACGCTAACTTTGAGATGCTCTGGGCAGTGGAGAATGCGGATCTGCAGGTCAGCTCCTGCTCCTGGCTTCCAGGACTGGAAGGCAAGGAGGCGATCTGCCCCCAGTGGGGCAGGAGCTACCTGGGCAGAACAGGAGCAGGGAAGTCGGCTGAGAATAACATTCACGTTATTCGAGCCACAGTGCCTACAATGGAATGTTCTATTTGCTGTACACAGATTATATCTATTATCCATAGCTATTTCATTACAGAGTTGCATTTCTTTGGGAAACAGTGAGCTATCAGTAAACAAAAACTATATTTCTGAAAAAGAAATGACACAAGTACTTAACAGGACTCTTAAAATACTTTTTGTATTTTGAAATTACAATTAAATTACAAATACAGGAGAGCCATCTACAGCGGGCAGGGGCAGGGGGGAAAAGACTGTTAGAGGAAAACCAAGCAATATGAATTCTTCTTTCAGATTATTATGGGTAATAAGGCAAGCAGTCAAGCTACCACACATGCGGCTCAACCTGCAAAATGTATGATATCAGCAAGACCTCATTATGAACTATTTTTAAGAAGGATTATATGAAAAAGACTCATTAAATCGCTATGAGACATTTGAGCCAAAATATTAACGGAATGCCACGATCCCAAGTGATGCCAGGAACGCCATACACACATCATTTTTGTAGCAAGAAACATTTTGGATTACTTTCATTTCTTCCTGCTTCCATAAGAGCCTATTTCATCCTGCAACAATGAGACTTTTTTGTCACCAGCATCATCAATCTGTCAGGTGTGACTATTACTCAACTCTGCACTGTTCCCTGAGGATTTACATAGAACCCTGACGGAGTCATCTGGCCCCGTTCTCTGGCTCTGCTTAGCCAGGGCACAACATGGGCGTGAGGCAGGACTACCTCCTAAGTCACATTTAATAGACAACATAAACTGGAGAACAATTTTAGAAGAATCATTCTTATGCCTGGACCAGACCTTCAAAGTTTTAACTTTGTTGTTTTAAAATACCATTGGAGAGTTTCCAACAATTACACATCAAAATTTCTTTCATCTGCTTATGACGCTATCCAAAAATACATGTTTCTAATGACCATTTTAGCCCAAATACACTCACTCTGTTGTTATTTTTAAGGAGTTAAAGCTCTCATGCAGTGAAGTGGAAAAAGTCAGACAAGCTCAGGTTGGTGCCAGGGCCTGGCACAGCCTAACCCCAACTGAAGATCAATAACTTTTGAATGCACAAGGCTTTAGCTGCCAAGGTTGAGAGATACACACGGTGACCTTTTGGGCTTGGCAGATAATGGCCATGAAAGTTCTGTACTCCAATATAAGAACCGCCCTGTATTGATGTTTCCTGGCTGGCATTCGCTTAGCGTTAACCATCCAGCCTCTACCATGAAAGCCTTCCCAATGTTCTTTTGGTTCACAGTTGCTCACAAATCCCATCAGTGTTTCCAATGAGAGGAAAAGACACCTCTCAGAGGAGCCCGCGGGGGGTTACGGCACGGCTTCACGGCTTCACAGGCGCTGGGCCGGGGCACACGCAGCCCACTTCAACGTCTGGAAGTCTCTCTGGCTTGCTACTCTTACCAGAGAGCTGTGTCACATCACTGGGAAGTTCTACTGTTTTTAATCAAGGTAATTAAAAACGCGCATTGTTCTCTTCACAGCGAAACAGAATTTGACCTTTTTTCCCTCAGTTTGCTTCCATTTATAGGAATTTTAAGAGAAAGACGTGACTTTTTTTTTTTTTTAAAGCAGACACTTGACAGGTTCACAGCACTCATCAGCTGTGTGGTTTTGGGACACATTCATTCCTTTTCTGGGCTTGAGTTCTCCCTCTATGAAAAGAGAGGATTTAATTAAGTGATAGAAAGAATCACTGGCTTTCTCTTAATTAAAACCTGGCATGTTATCACATGCTTTTATTTTAGAAAGGCATTTCTTCTTTACTTAATGTATACTAAATTCATCTTCTGGATATAAAAATAATTGAAAATGAATCTTGATGTGAATGGAATGGGAGAGGGAGTGGGAGATGGGAGGGATGGGAGAGAAGTTATAGGGGGAAAAGCCATTGTAATCCATAAACTGCACTTTGGAAATTATATTTACTAAATAAAAGTTTAAAAAAAAAAGAAAGGTATTTCTATTACCGCTCTTGTTTATGAAGAGGTTTTAATGAAAATATAGGAATGTTGAACTACTCTTTCTTTTCTCTGATTGATAATTCTTTGAAAGTCTATGGTTCACTGTTGCAGCGCCGGAGCGCACATATCTCACGCTCCGTGACTTCCTAGGTAGGCAGGAAAGGAAACAGCCCTGGGCCAGCAGTTACTGAGGTCCCAGGCTCTGCACGATTTTCTTTGGAAATACACTGAGCCCATTTTTCTTCTTTATCCCCATCAACAGGAAATACAATTCAAGTGGTAGAATTGTCTTCATTAGATATGTATCCATTTGGGTATTTAACTTATTTTTAGAAGTTTATTTACTGATATGGGAGGTGGTGGAGGGAGAGAGAGAAGGAACAGGAGAGCAAGCTAGCAAGCACAAGCCACCACTTCTATCTGCTGGTTTGTTGCCCAAAAGCCTGCAACAGCTGAAGGTGGGATGGCAAGGGTCCCGGGTGGGAACACAGCCCTGATCTCTCCTGGTCTTGGGAGGCAGTAACCCATTCCATCATCTGCTGCCACTGCCTCCTAGGGTCTGCATGGCACCAAGCAGGGGCAGGGGCAGGGCTGGGAGTCAGACCCAGACACTCCAGCGTGGGCAATGCAGGCATTTTAACTGCTGGGCTGAGCGCCTCTCACTCATTTTTACTGCTCTTTTCTTTTTTAATCACTTTTATTTCTTACTCGGTTCCAGTCAGGTTTACAAGCAGCCCTTCAGCAAATTTTCACTCTAGAATGTCTGAGGCAGTAATTGGCTTGGGGTTTTCCACTCCGCAATTCACCGTCGAGGACAGAATTACAGAAAAACATTTATTCAGAAACAAAGCTCTTGCAAAATAAAATGCTGCACACAACAAATTAATTGTCTAAACACAACCATGTCGCTAACTCTTAGATTTGCTTCTTCATAATCGGAGTGTCACCAGATAAAATACAGACATCCAGTTAAACTTGGACTTCAGGTAAACAGCCAATAAGTTTTAGTATAATAATGCATTAATATTTAGAATCATCTTTCACTAAATTTTGTTATTCTAAAGAATTGACATATTAAAACTACTTCTTAGTCTAAAATTCAAAAAAAATTTTTTGACAGGCAGAGTGGACAGTGAGAGTGAGTGAGTGAGTGAGAGAGAGAGAGAGAGAGAGAGAAAGGTCTTCCTTTGCTGTTAGTTCACCCCTCAATGGCCGCCACGGTCGGCGCATCGCGCTGATCCGAAGCCAGGAGCCAGGTACTTATCCTGGTCTCCCATGGGGTGCAGGGCCCAAGGACCTGGGCCATCCTCCACTGCACTCCTGGGCCACAGCAGAGAGCTGGCCTGGAAGAGGGGCAACCGGGACAGAATCTGGCATCCCAACCAGGACTAGAACCCGGTGTGCCGGCGCCGCAGGCGGAGGATTAGCCTATTGAGCCACGGTGCCGGCCTAAAATTCAAATTTAACTGGGCATCCTGCATTTTTATTTGCCGTATTTGGGAACTTTTTAATTCCTATTTGTAAACGAAACTAATCAGGCTGATACTAACCCCTTTAGTGTAAATCTCAAATGGCCTAACACAACCAAAGCCTGTTTCTCGCTTTGTGATCTGAGTGCTTCTACTAGGAAGGTGGCTTCTCTCTATGTGGCCAGTCAAGAGCCCAACCTCCTGCGGGCGCTTTGCAGGGTGCCCTGGCATCCAGGCGCAGAAGAGGCAGCCAGAGGAATGAGGCACACCTACGACTCACCTGCCCAGGTCCAGCCATGACATGGTTTCCACTCTTAAGTCCATGGTGACAAGCAGCCACATGGACCCAGGGAGGTTCAACAAGGGCAGAGAAAGTGAACCCTTTTTCTGGGTAGCAACTTCCCCAAACCAATGCTACATAAGGGAAAGGACAGATGATGTGTTGGTGAAAACTCAGTCATTTGTAGCTCAGCATGCAAGTGACGGAAACACGGACAAAAATCATCGTGCACCATTCCTCTTTGCACTTGGGAGAAATAAACCCCTGCACACACCCGGGAGCCCTCCCCTCTGGATTAGGTGTGCACAGTCTGCGACGTTTGTAAGTCACAGACAAGAACTTGGCCTGGTTGATGGCTCTGTGCAGAACCTGGGATTTCAAATCTACACCAGTCTATGTCAAAGGTCTAATGCGAGATCCGCATGGGAGTGGAGAGGAATCGCTTTGAGGAAGTCAAACGCCAGGAACAACTAAAATCAAAATCTACCTGACAGCTAGGGGCCCACAGAGGACCTTCTACCCCGCTGCCAGGACCAGCATGCAAATTCTCCCTTTCTCTAGGGTGCAATATCAGTTGAAACCCTGACTCGTGTTATCCAGACTTGTGGGCTTGTGAGTTTCCAACTCGGAGAGGAACTTGGTTCCTTCCTCGCCTGCTCTGGCATGACTGGAGCTGAAACAGACGTAAAAGGTTGCACAATCTGATTCAGTCTTACTGTTTCCCGTGTCCTTGTCCATCCAGGACCTCCACCCACTGACTGTGACCTGACCCTCGGAATTTTGCGTTTGATCTACTGGTAAATCCGCTTCACTCTCAGGACGTGTGAAGACTGTGCAGCCTCATTTCTGGAGTAACTGAACTCCTGACTCAGTTTCCGTAACCCTTCCAGGTTCACCAGCTGCAGTTCCTCTAGGCACTGATATGGAATCTGTGGCCACTCTTGACAAGGTGCACTCTGTAAATGGTCATTATGAAAGCATCCCCTGACAGCTCAAGTGACAGGAGGTGACCTCTTGCTCTCTGAGCCCTCAACAGGATGCTCCTGTCCTGTTAGCAGGTGCAAACTGCTCAGCCTACAAGAGGCACCTGTCCTTCCAAACTCCCCCCACACCCCAAGGAGAAAATGGAGTTGGTATACTGACTTCTCTCTCTGCCGCTTAACAGAAGTGACCTCTCAGTTTTCATCTTTAAGGGCCTTAAGCTCTTTGGAGCAAGGGAGCCTTCTCCTTCCCTGTGGGCATTCACTCTCACCAACAGCAAGGCAATAAAAATGCAGGTAAGTGTGTTTATCACAAAAAACACTTAAGAGCTAGGTTCTTGCAATGGTTTTGTGTTAGTTGGATGGACTCTTCTTGTCAAAAGTAGCTCATAATTCATATGACTTGTAAGGCTCTTTCCTGTGAGGCAGAGAGTTCTACTCTACTTAACCAGAGAGCTACAAAGTGCTCCCTGGACTTCTTGACAGGCAAAGCTGAATCATCACATTCCTCACACCCACCTGGTGCCCGAGTAGTGTCTGGCACCATACAAGACATGGCTGAGATTTACCAGGATGTAAATTTTGCCTTTTTCGATGCTGCCTGGTTCCTAAAACATATATAAGGTGTATCAGCTGCATGTATAAGGATGTGCGTGAGGGAAAACATGGTATCTCTTGTGCTGTGTGTGCCATTTTCTTGCTTGAAAATCAAGGACCCTGTTGCTTCTGGGGAGGGGCAGCATTAGCACAGGGCACACAGCCAAGGATGCATGGTGCAGAGTGCACTGGGGCACCATGACAAACACCCTCAGAGCTGACCTGTGGGGAGCAACTGGGAGCAACTCGGACTAGACTAAGTTACTGGAATTAAGACTTATTCTATGCATCTGCTCTCCCACAATATGGCGCTGGGAGAGGAGGAAACAGCTTCTACTCAGCTGCCTCCAGTTCAACCAATAAACAGCAGGACCTGCTCCTGATTGGAGGAGAGCAGCGTACTCGGCGTGTGGGCAGCCGAGTTGGGATTGGTGGAAGAGGACTATAAAGGAGGAGAGAGACAACATGCACGAGGAACATCTATCTGATGTTCCACGGAGGTGGAAGGGACGGTAGCCAACCCGGGAAGAACCAGCAGCAAACCCGGGGAGGGCCGAGCAGACAAAAGAACAGCGCAGGGTCCTGTGTCGTTCCTCCACGAAGAGGGGGAGCAACACTGACCCATGAGGAAACCACATGTACAGGGGCCGGCGCCATGGCTCACTTGGTTAATCCTCTGCCTGCGGCGCCAGCATCCCATATGGGTGCCAGGTTCTAGTCCTGGTTGCTCCTCTTCCAGGCAAGCTCTCTGCTGTGGCCCGGGAGTGCAGTGGAGGATGGCCCAGGTCCTTGGCCCTGCACTCTCATGGGAGACCAGGAGGAAGCACCTGGCTCCTGGCTTCAGATCAGATCGGTGCAGCGCCGGCCGCAGCAGCCATTTGAGGGGTGAGCCAACAGAAGGAAGACCTTTCTCTCTGTGTCTCTCTCTCTCTCTCTCACTGTCTAACTCTACCTGTCAAATAAAAAGAGAAAAAAGAAAAAAACACATGCATTCATGAAGCAGGGACCCCTTCCCCACTTCGCTCACACACAGTACTGCCTGCTCACAGATACAAGTCACATACCACACACGATCGTTACAAATCTTTGGTTGATTAGCAAAGGACACTGTGTTTTGAGGAAATTTTGTATAACCCGTTGAGCTGAGTACTGTCACCTATTTACTTGGAATCACCTGGAACAAATAAAATTATTAGGTCTGATGGAAAGCAAAGACCCAGAAAGCTACTTTATCAAAAGAGCAATCACTAAACCATCTACCCCACAAATGCACATTATTGACTCATTCATGTTGAAGCCAAGGAGGCCACAAATGATTTCAATCAACTAGAATTCTGTGGTTCCCTGGATAGCAAGAGAATAAGTGGCTTGAGTTATGACCGGATGCCTACGTTCAGAAGGCAAGAACTAAATTACGTTTGCAATAGACGGCAGCAGATGGAAAGCCACAGGGCCATAGCAATGTTTACTCACTAAAAGTGAAATATAATCCTATCCAGGAAAAAATACTATGGAGAATAAAACCAAGTAAGGAAATTTCCATCTGAGGGTGAAATGGGAGTGGCTCCAGAAGCAAACCTTAAGGAAGACCATCATTTAGATTCTCAGTGCCTCTGGGACAAAATCTCTACTGCTTCCCTTGGTGTGCATGGTACGCTATGCTCTGAACCTAGCAATCATGTCTAATCTCTCCCTTTTTAAAAAAAATTTATTTATTTGAAAGGCAGAGAGAGAGGGAGAGAGAAAGAGGGAGGGAGGGAGGAGGAGAGGGAGGGAGGGAGGCAGGCCAGTTCACTCCCCAGATGGCCAGAACTGCATCAATCTGAAGCCAGGAGCCAGGAGCCTCTCCCGAGTCCCCCAGATGTGTGCAGGGGCCCAAGGACCTGGGCCATCCTCCACTGCTCTCCCAGACCACAGCACAGAGCTGGATTGGAAGTGGAACAGCCGGGACTTGAACCGGCGGTCATATGGGATGCTGGCACCGCATGCAGCGGCTTCCTGTTGCACCACAGTAGTGGCCCCAATCATGTCTCATCTCAATTCCACTTTCTTTTCCCCTTTGCCACTAGGCCACATAACTGACCACAGAGCAGTTTATCTGACTGTAAATTCACACCTGCAGGCAGGATCTTTGATCAGCAGTTTAGGACCTCACTTTTAACAGGAACATAGAGACCTGGAGAATCAGACATTCCAGGGAGCCACCAACAGGAAAGAGACCCAAATAAACAAACCACAAGAGTTCATTGAGGCCGCCTAGAGAACACAGGATACTTAAAAAAATACAATTACTTCTCACACAGAGAGGTAAGAAACAAAACCAGAATGCTATAAAAAGACAATAATCAGAACCAGAAAGAGTAATTGGGAATTACAAACAAAATCATTGGAGTGGGCATTTAAACTAGTGATTAAGATCCATTGTAGGGGCCGGTGCTGTGATGTAGTGGGTAAAGCTGCCACCTGCAGCGCTGCTGGCATCCCATATGGGTTCCGGTTCTAGTCTTGGCTGCTCCTCTTCTGATCCAGCTCTCTGCTATGGCCTGGAAAAGCAGTAGAAGATGGCCTAAGTCCTTGGGTCCCAGCACCTGCATGGGAGACCCAGAAGAAGCTCCTGGCTCCGGACCGGCACAGCTCCAGTTGTTGAAGCCATTTGGGAAGTTAACCAGCGGATGGAAGATCCCTCCCTCCCTCCCTCTCTCTCTCTCTCTCACTCTCTCTCTCTCTCAGCTTCCCTGTAACTCTACCTTTCAAATAAAATTTTAAAATCTTTTAAAAACATTTAAAAAAAGATCACCTGCACCTCACACACTTTAGTACTTGGGTTAGATTCTCAGCTCTAGTTCCTGTCTCCAGCTTCCTGCAAACACAGACTCTGGGGGGCAGCAGTGATGGGTCAAGTGATTGGATTCTTGCTACCCACATGGGAGATTCAGTTTGAGTCCTGGTTTTTGGCTTCAGCAATGGCTGAACACTGGCCACTGTAGGCAGTTTTGGAATCAACTATAAGACAGGAAATCTGTTTCTCAACTATAAAAGTTTTAAATAACTATTTAAAAATAAATCAGTTACAGAACTGGAGGATAAAACCAGATAAATCTTTCATAAGGTACAATAAATTGGCTGAAAGGATGGACAGCAGGAAAGGCAAACAGAAAATTACAGGCTCAATGAAGAAGGCCCAGTATCTGACTTACTGGTTCCCTGAGGACTATGCTTTTGTTCACTTTGCTATGACTTCTAGCAAAGATTTACAATGCCTGGCTTAAAGGAACTGCAGAAATATTTGTTGAATGAATGTTTCAAAGAAAAAAAGGGGGCCAATGCTGTAGCAAAACAGGAAAAGCTGCCGTCGGCGGTGTCAGCATCCCATACTGGCTCTGGTTTAAGTTCCGGCTGCTCAACTTCAGATCCAGCTCCCTGCTAATGCGCCTGGAAAATCAGTGGAAGACAGTTCAAGTCCTTGGGCCTCTGCACCCACGTGGAAGACCTAGAACAAGTTCCTGGCTTCAGATCAGCCCAGGTCCAGCTGCTGCAGGGGAGCGAACCAAAAAATGAAAGATCTCTCTCTCTCTCTCTGCCTTTTGGATAAATAAGTAAGTCTTTAACAGAAATATCAAAGAGAAAACAAAGAGAAAATGACGGGACTAAAAGAAGAAAAAAAATCCTCAAAATGAAAAATATGTCTCATGTAACGGCCCACCAAGAGACAGGTGTTGGCACAGCAGTTACCAATTGGGATGTCTACCTCGTGTATCAAAGTGCCTGGTTTGAGTTCTGGCTCTTCTGCTTCTGAGCCAGCTTCCTGCTAATGCACAACCTGGGAGGCAGAAAGTGAAGGTTCACAGATTTAAGTCCCTGAAATCCACAAAAGACCTGGATTGAATTCCCAGCTCAGGGCTTTGGCTAGGACCAGCCCTGGCTGTTGGGGGTATTTGGGGGAATGAACAAGAAGATGGAAGATCTCTCGCAGAATATAGCTATTTTTGCATGTAAAAAATAAACTTTGTTTCATACTTCTTCTCTTAAAAAGATCCCAAAGGAATATTCCACCAGAATAAAGAGGTAAACCAAGAAAGAGATAGATACGTGCTCTATGAAACAGGAGATCCTACATAGGAAGGAAGCAATAGGAACTCCCCTGATGACAACAAAGAGAAGTCCTTGGATGACAATGGCAATAAGCCAACAGAGTAATTAGTCTAAATGGAGGTTTCCAGAAAGAATGCCTTTTAGGGAAAAAAAAATGGAGCAATCGATCTGACAAGTTTGACCATACAATAAATTTTGATGCTGTGATAGAATGTGGGAAGACCCAGCATAAAACCAAAGAAAACTAAGAAAATGGAAAAAATTAGTTCAGGAGATACAAGTTACACATGGAAGGGATATAATTTTAACTTTTTGAGATACATGTACAGAGTTATAAAACAAAAAGATGGGAGATGTACTTTATGAACATTTAACCTAATTTATTGGGAGAATGTGCATAGGGAGTAAGAAAGCTAAAATTCTCATGTTAATACTAGAGGAGGGAGAGAAGTTGCGGGGTAAGCTAAGAAAGATATAAAGAGATCTATAGCTTTTTATTCTAAACCATCTATCATTATTGGACCTTTTAATCTCCATGTATGGATTACTTTGCTCATAACATTTAAAGCCATTTGTATTTTTCAACTTACTCATACATTGCATTCTCTTTTTCCCCCCCAATTTTGTCTCCCTGTCTCCCACACTTCAACATTTATTACATTATTGGGACAAAAGCTGTGTTTTTGGTGAGCAAAGAATGACATAAGGTCTATGCTTAAATAAGGACATTGGTACTACTGAGAAAAATTATAAGAAAATAGTTGTCCTTGAGACAGTGAGAGAAAATAGAATGAAACTCATGTTGTGCTTTTCAACACATGTTTTAAAATTTAAAATTATAAGCAAACATTATCCGGTGAGGTTACAATGCATTCATCAATGAGAATACAAGCACTCAACTATGTCTCCAACTCTTAATGCCCTTCCGAGCTGACAAGTTTCATTACTGTCAGGCAAGTTTTAAACTAAGAAGGACAACTTTGAACATCCATTGCCCTTTAGCAGAACAAGCGTGCAGGAAATGGCACAGAAAGCTTTAACTTGATGTTCTCAGACTCAATTTGTTTTTTATTCTAACACCTGCCTCAACAAACACTGATAACCTTCAACTCTGCCTTCAGGAAGCTATGTTTTCACTGAAGGAGAAAACAAGGACATTTAGAATTGGAGGCACATGGAAGGAGCTGGAAGCATCTCCAAGACAAATCCCTCTACTAAACACGCAAAACAACCTGACTTCAGTATTTCAGAAAACTCCATTTTCAAATGAAATTCGAAAGCTTTCCCCAAGATGGCTTCTGGTAAAGACTGCATGAAACAGCTTCTGGCTGGTCCGATTTTCAGGACAATTTCATGTGAAGTGGAAGGGGAAATGCCTCTTTCTGCAGTCATACTTCCTCTCATAATCAACAAAGTCCACAGGACTGCACCAGAGGCCCCTCCCACCAGCATATGCCTAGGTTCTACTGATTCCCACTCTACAGTACTGGCAAATCTAGTTCAGTCCCAAAGACAGAAAAATTAAGAGGTTCTTCTTAAAATTCAAGCCAAACAAACAAGAAAAAGTGACTTTCTATTCCTATTTATTTATTTTGACAGGCAGAGGAGAGAGAGAGAGAGAGAGAGAGAGAGAGAGAGAGAAAGAGAGAGAGAAAGGTCTTCCTTTACCGTTGGTTCACCCTCCAATGGTGCACTGTGCTGATCTGAAGCCAGGAGCCAGGTGCTTCTCCTGGTCTCCCATGCGGGTGCAGGGCCCAAGGACCTGAGCCATCCTCCACTGCACTCCTGGGCCACAGCAGAGAGCTGGACTGGAAGAGGAGCAACCAGGACAGAATCCAGTGCCCCGACCGGGACTAGAACCCGGTGTGCCGGCGCCGCAAGTGGAGGATTACCCTATTGAGCTGCGGCGCTGGCCTATTCCCTTTTATTTTACAGAGGGATACAACAGACATCAGGATACAATGGACAAAACACAAGTTCAGGGTCAGGAAAACTCTACACCAAAACCTTATTTAGCATTGCTGGGTCTACATTTTGTCTCTTCGGTTAAACAGCAATTCCTATTTATAGACCTTATTGCACCCTTAAGGAAACCAAAGGAGGTACCCGACATGAAAGGACTTAGATCTTTGGTTTTCCAACTGAAGACTGATTCTTTATCAAATGCTTGTTAGGTTCAGCACTGTTCTAAGAAGGGGCAAATCACAATGAGCAATATAAAGTCATTGTCTCCACGGAGCTGTCATTAGATAAAATTGCGTGCGTCTCCCCAAGGATATGAGTGGTCTTCCAAAGTTCATGAAAATGCCTATTATGAAAAAAAGTATGGATTTCCTGCACCAAAATTAACATCTAGATTTCAATTCCTGTACCTCTCTCTGCTTGAACAGGATCCTCAGGCCCACCCAACCCTTTTCAGTCCCTGTTGTCTAATTGGTGTCGTCTGGGCACCTGCAAAATACGTTTTAGTTTAAGCGGAAGCTGGGGGGGGGGTCACTGACCAGGCGCCTGAGGCAGTCCATCTCACCAAGGGCTCTTCCAGTTGTGCCCTCTCTAGTGTTACCCACTCTGCCTTGCTCCAAGGCGCAGCACTATGCTTGCGTGCTGCTGTGACCCATAGTTCAGGAGCACTTTCAGGGCCTAGGAGCACTTCCGGAGCACAGGAGCACTTCCGGATCCAGAGTCCAGGAGCAGTTCCCCACAGGAATCTGGGAGCCAATCGAGAACCGTCCCGCGCCCCGCCCCTGCCTGCACCGCCAAGCCGTGGAGCACCATGATCAGTCACAGCAGAACGTGCTGCAGCCGCTGGAGTTGAGAAGCGAGAAGTCCTCAACCTCCACCCTGAGACTCGCGTGTTCCTCACTGCTTTAATGATAACTGTGCCTACTGCCTTCTGCTTCACAACGGAATCTTACGTATTTGAAGGTGCCCTGGGGCTGTGCAGTGGGACAGCTGGTTTTACGCGGCCATTGCTGCATGGTGGCGGTCCACGTGGTGCTGGCCCTCTTTGTGTATGGGGCCTGGAATGAGGACTCGCGACAGTGGCGTGAAGGCAAGCAGGATTAAGTCAGCATCCCTTTTTGATAGCAGTAAACAGACTTTCTTAATTGGGTAGATGCTGCGGAGGCATTGCTGATTTCAAAAAAGTCGGAACACACGGAAAGCAGTCTTAATAAGGAGTCACGTTTGACTATTACAGATGTTGATCCCTCTAATTCATTGGTTCCTGTAATTAATTTTAACCATATGAGTCTCTTATTTTCAAATGAGAATTTGAAATAGTTAAATCAGTTCCAAATGAATATGTTAACTTAGGTATGCATTATTCCAGGAAACAATTTGGTTGCTTTACAAAGAAAATATTTTGTAATATTATGTCTTACAGCTCCCTTTCTAGGTTTATCTCTGGATATATTAATATGTGAACAGTAAAGCAAACGTCTCCTTAAAGCGGAACACTTCCCCTAACAATCATGAAAATACTTGGTCCTTGTATTTGGGATTTTCACGTCCTACTGAAAATTGCTCAAACTCTGGACATGAATTAATCTGAATGCCACTGAAGAATTTCACATGCAGTGTCAG